TTTTTATTATTATTTTTGAGACAGAATCTCACTGTGTTGCTAGAGTGCTGTGGCATCAGCCTAGCTCACAGCAACCTCAAACTCCTGGGCTCAAGGGATCCTCCTGCCTCAGCCTCCCAAGTAACTGGGACTAAAGGCAGGTGCCACCATGCCTGGCTATTTTTTTTTCTATTTTTAGTTGTTTGGCCAATTTCTTTTCTATTTTTAGTAGAGATGGGGTCTCGCTCTTGGTCAGGCTGGTCTTGAACTCCTGAGCTCAAGCAATCCTCCCACCTCGGCCTCCCAAAGTGCTAGGATTACAGATGTGAGCCACCACACCTGGCTCTTTCTTTGAGTATTATATTTCAGTTTAACGTTTAGGCTAATCACTAGAGAGAGAAAAGTGGGAGGGAGAGAAAAGAGAACAGAATTTGGGGACTGGGGAAATGGAAATAGAGATTAGAAGAAGAAAAAGAGAAAGACACACAGGAGAGAAATAAACAGAGGGAGAAAGAGACACAAAGATACAAGGAGTCAGAGAAAGAGATATTCAAAGAGAAAAACTGGGGCAAATATACAGAAATACTGACCCAGGGTGCAGGCAGAGGCACCTGCACATGGCCAGAGACTGGGAAAATGAAAAGTGTTCCAAACCTGGGAACAGGGGACCTGGCTTCCAACAGTCTCTGCCACTTGTCAACTACGCAACCTCAATTGGTACTCAACTTCTGGCTTGCAGTTTCCTTATTTGAAAAATGGCAGTCAGGGGAATGTGGATAGGAAGTGAATGCCTGTGTTTAGACTGCCACCTTGTGGTGGTTTCATATTTCTCTCTAAGGCCGCCGTCCCAAACTTATTTGGCACCAGGGATGAGTTTCATGGAAGACAATTTTTCCGGGAGGTGGGGGGATGGTTTCGGGATAATTCAAGCACATTACATGCATTGTGCAGTCAGATCTGTCTGTAATGATAATGTGTATTTGCAGCCGCTCTCCAGCGCTAGCATCACCGCCCCAGCTCCACCTCAGATCATCAGGGATTACATTCTCCTAAGGAGTGTGCAACCTAGATTCCTCCCACTTGCAGTTTACGGTAGGGTTCACGCTCCTATGAGCATCCGCGAGAATTTAATGCTAATGCCCAATGACCTGACAGGAGGCGGAGCTTGTGCGGGGATGAGAGCGGCTGTAAATACAGATGAAACTTTGATCACTCCCTCACCAGCTGCTCACCTCCTGCCGTGTGGCCAGGTACCTAACCTGTCCATGGCCCACAGGGCCACAGCCTTAAGTTTTTTTTTTTTTTTTTGAGACAGAGTCTCACTTTGTTGTCCAGGCTAGAGTGAGTGCCTTGGCGTCAGCCTAGCTCACATCCTCAAACTCCTGGGCTCAAGTGATCCTCCTGCCTCAGCCTCCCGAGTAGCTGGGACTACAGGCATGCGCCACCATGCCCGGCTAATTTTTTCTATATATATTAAGTGGCCAATTAATTTCTTTCTATTTATAGTAGAGACAGGGTCTCAACTCTTGCTCTGGCTGGTTTCGAACTCCCGACATTGAGCAATCCTCCCGCCTCGGCATCCCAGAGTGCTAGGATAACAGGCGTGAGCCACCACGCCTGGCCTCGCCTTACTATTTGTAAACATGCCCTGTGGCTTTCTAAATGACAGCCACAGAAGGCTGAGGATACCTTGAGGGGCATTTACCAGCAAAATTGTTTGGAGTCAAAGAAGCCACCAGCTCCTTTTCAACTGATTGTCTTTGACAGCTGTTACTTTGACTATGATGCCCCATGGGCCACTTAGTTTCTTAAAAAAGGCTTCCCATTGCTCTGGTTTGGCATTAAAACCCAGCAAAGTGAGAAGGGATGCCCCCTATCTGAGCTGACAAGGTATATCTTCAGTCTCTCTTGCAGTACCCTCAGTTTTTTTTTTTTTTGAGACAGACTCTCGCTTTGTTGCCCAGGCTAGAATGAGTGCCGAGGCATCAGCCTAGCTCACAGCAACCTCAAACTCCTAGGCTCAAGTGATCCTACAGCCCCAGCCTCCTGAGTAGCTGGGACTACAGGCATGGGCCACTATGCCCGGCTAATGTTTTTCTATATATATTAGTTAGCCAATTAATTTCTTTCTACTTATAGTAGAGACGGGGTCTCGCTCTTGCTCAGGCTGGTTTCGAACTCCGGCCTATAGTTACTTTTAATTTTTAAAATTGTACTTGCTAGGCACGGTGGCTCACGTCTGCAGTCCCAGCTCCTCAGGAAGCTGAAGATCCTCTGAGCCAAAGAGCTCAAATCTGCAGTGAGCTATGATGACGCCACTGTACACTAGGTTGGGCAACAGAGTGAGACCTGCCTCTCAACAATAAAAATAAAAAAATTTAAAAATAAATAACACCTGATTGATCTCCCAAAGGACTATACTAATTTATGCTGCCACTTGCAGTGAAAGAGAATACTATTTTCTCTGTATCACCATTGGTAATTGGAATTATGCCTCTTTTTTAAGTCTTGCTAGTCTGATGGGTATGAAGTGATAGTTCATGCTTGCATTAATTTGTCTTTTCTAGGTGCTAATAAGTTTAACCATTTCTTAATATGTTTGATCATTTTGTATTGCTTATTCATGGGATAGATTTGTATTATCTATTCCCATCATTTGCTTATTTTTCTCTTGTGTTTTCCTCCTTTGTCAATTATCTTTATGTGAAGAGTTCTCAGACATGATACAAAAGACATGATTCATAAAAGAAAAAGTCAATGAAATGGACTTTATCAAAATTTAAAACTCTTGCTTCGCAAAAAAGCCTGATAAGAAAATAAAAAGACAAGCTATAGCCTGGAAAAAATATTTTGTGGCAAAACAGCAAGAGCTATTAGTTAACTTAAGGTAGTGGGATTACCAATGATTTCTTTCTCTTCTAAACAGTCTTTAATAATTAAAAAATGTAACAGTACCTGGAAAAGTTGCAGCTGTTCCCATTTCTAATCAAAATTGAAATGACCAAAACAATGGAAAAATGCAAGAAAACCTGCCTTAGCACTAGAACTAGGAAGGGGGGCATCCAAATGCCAGAAATTTTGGGGCATTTCTATTATTAAACAATAAAATCTAATAATTTATCAGAAGAATAGAACACTGATCAAGGATACAAGGATAGGTTGATACCAGGAAATCTATAACACATATCATCACAAAATTAAAGCTATAGCCTGGACTCAAGCAATCCTCCTGCCTCAGCCTCCCGAGTAGCTGGGACTACAGGGATGCCCGGCTAATTTTTTCTATATATATATTTTAGTTTGCCAATTAATTTCTATTTTTATATAATGCCTTTTTAATTTTTATAATATATACCAGGGTAATTCTATTAAAAGTTGTTATAGGCCGGGCGCGGTGGCTCACGCCTGTAATTCTAGCTCTCTGGGAGGCCGAGGTGGGAGGATTGCTCAAGGTCAGGAGTTCGAGACCAGCCTGAGCAAGAGGGAGACCCTATCTCTACTATAAATAGAAAGAAATTAATTGGACAACTACAAATATATAGAAAAAATTAGCCGGGCATGATGGTGCGTGCCGATGGTGCATGCCTGTCGTCCCAGCTACTCAGGAGGCTGAGGCAGGAGGATTGCTTGAGCCCAGGAGTTTGAGGTTGCTGTGAGCTAGGCTGACACCATGGCACTCACTCCAGCCTGGGCAACAGAGCAAGACTCTGTCTCAAAAAAAAAAAAAGTTGTTATAATCTATACTTGCTGTGTGTGATAACAGGCTACTACATTTGTCTCAGCTTGTCTCTAGAATTTAAAGCAATCATTGAGAGGCAGAAATTTTTTCTGAAATCTATTATGTAGAAGTTGGGACATTATTAGCTGCTATTAAGTAGCATCCCAGAGCCTTCCAAATTTCTGCTCAGCTGGAAAAGCTAGTATCTGACCTCAAAAATGATGCTTGGGTGTAGGAGATTCACAGTGTACATTAACTCTGTGACAAGACTGCCAGCAGTGCCCAATATCCAATTCTTTTCTTCTTCAATAATAGAATCCCAAAATGTTAATTTGGCTGACAATCTAGACAGAATAAAGACTATTATTGCTCATTCTTCGTAGCTAGTGGGATCAAGTGATTAAGTTTGAAATGTAAGTTGATGTGGTGTGCATGACTGCTAGGAAGTGTTCTTGGAGGAGGGAGGATGCCCTCTCCCAGCAGGCTCAAATGTTGATAGGATGTTTCTAGCTGGACCAGATGTCTTCAACCAAGACATGACAGCCACATTGTGAGAAGGAGCAATATAGCAGGAACCTAGATACCTGGCCCTGCGGTGTCATACTAGCTCTGGACTGTCTTCCCAGACTTTTATATGCAAGAGAAGCAAACTTCTATCTTGTACAAGCCATCATTGTTTGTGGAAACAGCCAAACCAATACATACAAACTAATGTGAAATGCCAAGTTTCAGTCTAATTTACTTAAAAGATGGAGAATGTTTCCCACAGAGAACACTGTGTCACAGACATTTTCTGAGGTGTTTAATTTAATTTGCTTTCCCAGTGGTAAAACCTGCACCTATGGTTTTTAGGGAAAAACAATCAAAAAGCAACTGCCTTTAGAATAGCTTAGGATGCAAAGTGACTGACAAAGTCCCTTCCCACAAGAGAACTATAACAAGCAATTTAAACAAATCAAAAATGGTTTGTTTTATTTATAATACTCAATGCATCTTACAAATAACATATTTGCATTCCCTAAGCCTTTTGGAAAGTAATTCCAGTTTGTGCAAGAGGTTTACAGGAAAATTTTAAGACATCTAATAGACATCTTAAACCTAAATTCTAAATTTTGAAAGATATTTCACACTGTATTAATAGAGGACTGTTTTTAATTAAGAAAAACTAAACTCTGTAAATATTGTCCTCTAGTATTTTTAACCCAAATATAAACCGGGTTAGCCTATGAAATAAGACCATTAGATTTGGATGAATTATTCCAACCTCCCTCCCCAATAAAATGCATGCACAAAGTAAACATGGTAAGTTACATTAATCTCATTTTATTTTAATATTTTTTTTGGACTCTCTCAACTTTTGTTTTGCTCAATTCCAGGTGTAGACAGGTAGGATTCCAGTCTGGAGAAACCCTAAACCACTACTCCCTGCTCCAGAATAGGGAAGGATTTTCAGTAAGTATGTGGAGGCAGGCAGGATCAGGGAGACTTCTGGGTTCTAGGCCTGACAAAGCCTGAAGGAGTCAGTTATTTCCCTACTAGCAGTTCTGGGAACATCTAATCTATGCCACCATAGAACAATAGGTCTTTTCCCTCCCTTTCCTCCCTGAATCACTACTTAGATTTTAGTGCCTCCTGAGTTGACATGGAAATCAGTTCCTGTTCAGATGCCAGAAACTGCTTTGATTTCAGGTAAAGAGTGATAAACAATAATTGTGCAAAAAGAGTTTGCACTTCATGAATGTGAAAGAGAATGTAATTACTTCTACCATTCATGTAGCTGCCATATCTTAAAACAAAACCCACGTCCTAACTTTTGAGCCAGAGAGAAGGGATAGAGAGGTATCTCTATACTGGATCCACCGCAATTTAGCCACGTGTCTCTCCATCTCCACAATATGTGTCTCCTCAAAAGATGGTGTCTTTAACACCTGGCATAGGTGGTTGAATGGGAAGATACCAAACTGGAGAAAAAAGTCTCATTATGTTTGACACAGCCAACAGAATTCTAAGATAAAGAAATGGTGAGGTAGAGTTGAGAGAGTTCAATTAAATTGTTGAGCATAGACGATTTGGCACATTCTAAAATTACAGACTCCCCATCAAATTCTCCTTTGTGATAACTTTACAAAGTGCTGACACCTTAGGAATCTTCCAATATATTTATGAAACATTTATGTAAAACTAACAGTAAAGACACTTGAAGAAATCCATTCCTGGCTCATTAGCTATTATTTACCCCCATATTGAAGCAAATAAAAACAATGCTATCCATTTGCTGAATTTATTTAAACAAATCAATTTAGAAATACCATAGAATTAAACAAAACTTCTGACATGTAAACATACTGCCATGTTCCTGAAACAGATGTTGACACCTGATAAAAGTTAATAATAGCTTGTTAGGAAAGCTGTCCATTAATAAGGCCAGTCTTCAGCAAAACTTAAATCATTTTGTTTCTTTAGCTTTCCCAGTCTGATGTGATACTATCAAACCACAATCAAATATAATATAGACAACATTGGATGGATAGATCAGTACCATTGGTTACAGCTGTTAAACAGTTTCATTCTTGGCGCCACGTAAAAACAATTAAGCCAATCACATCAAATAAATCATGGCTTTTTTAAAATCACAATTCACTAAGTGTTGTTAATTATGGTCCTTGTCAAACACGTTTGGTAAAGGCTATTTACAGTGTACATGGCTGAGCATGCACTATTTATAGTTACAAAGATACCTGCCAGTTTATTACAATAGAATTACACAGTGCCTGAAAATGGTGAAACATCTCACACATCATTTAAATCAATATAGTTTCAAGCAGGAAACGTTCCTTATTTGACCACAATTGCAATAATTACATGAAAATTCTTATAAAAACACGAATCCCCTTCAAGAAATTGATGCATATTCTACGCACTACAGGTTAAGGCAGTAAAAAAATGTATTCCTGATAACTGGAGGTCTTGACAATGTCAATTAAAGCTGTCTGACTCTAGTTTTTCATTCTCCATCATATACTAAAAGTTTGTGAATGATTTCATTTTTAAAGTCAAAAAGTATCAGTAACTAAGGAGAGCTGATGCTGGAAAAAAGTAATTGTTAGGGAAAGGAAAAATGTAAGTTGGATTTTGCCTGAAAGTTTTCAAATCATAAACAAGAGCATTATTTGTGAGTCTGACCCTTCAATGTATAAAACAAATACATATAGTTTACTTTTCTTAATTTAAAATATACTGTACTTTGAACAATTCAAGTAATGTAAGACTATCAAAAATAACTTCATAAGCCATACAAGTGTCAACTGCATTTTCAATATTTTAATTAAGAACTTTTTAAAAATTATAAACTAAACTATGACAGTTTAGTTAAATAAATGATAAATGACTTTTTATTTGCACTTGTGATTCCTTTAATACAAATTGCAACCAACAAATATGTAAAGATATGGCAGATTATGCATTTGATCAAAGCACTTTGATTTAAGCATAAAACAGATGCAAATGGTACAAGTTCTGTGCATAAGATCCAAGGAGTTGCCTACTAATTTGCAGGCAACCCTCTTTCTAATCAGAATCCTTTATTCCTTGACTGCAGATGAGTTAGGGCACAATCTGTTGTAAACAGGGCACTGTTGTAAAACCAGGATAGTATTCTTAAATTAAGATCACTCTTGTTCAATTAAAGAGACTTTCCCAAGTGTCTTCCAGCACTGTAGTATATTCTGCTGACCTCTTAATTTCATAAATTAACTTTCCTTTGATTCCATTTTTATGGTGGTTGTGTTCACAGTTTTGTTTTAAAAATTGGTTTAAATTTATATAAAACTCTGTACATGTTCACAAATTATTGCATAAACAGCATATCTTCAAGACAGTGTTTGCAAACACGTGTCTGTCCAATTTTGGAAAAAAAATTCACGTTTCTCTTCTGGCTTTTTTCTTCTTTTTTATTTGTTTGGGAGATTCCCAGCTAGTTTCAGACTTGGCTACAAGAAAAAAGGGGTGAGAAAAAAATTAGGAGGATGGTAAACACTGTTATGTCTCAATAATACAAAAATAGTAAGTATGAAAAAATGCTTTAAAACCCTCAAATTTTATGTTTAAGTTTTCAAGTCTTAGTTATGTATTTAGAGTTACTCTATGCCTGCCGCCCCCCTTTCTTTTCAGTCTGGATGTATTAGGTTTAACCATATGGAATTGTGATATTCAATCCGTTTTGACCTAGAAAAACCACCATTTAATATGGCTAATAAAAGAGAAAAATGGGTAAAATAGATACTTAAGGTAGAAAAAAGGCATAGATAGGACAAGCTGTGGCAAGAATGTGTGCAAAAAAAGAGAGAGGGACCAGACAGACAAGCAGGCAGGTACCAAGTCCTCCCTCTCTGTCCTCAGCAACCTACTCTATGTTCAGTTATTTTAGCAACTTGGCCCTCTCAACTGAAGTTCACAAGAGTCCAAAAAATCTAGCATTTGTAAATGAAGAAAAAGCTGCTTGATTAATCTATTAGATAGATGTCTAAGATAAGAACCTTAACACTTATGCAAGAATAATGTACATAGCACAAAAGATATACAAAGGAACCAAAAATGAGGATTACTTACTCTGTGAAGGAGGCACACTATTTTGCTTGGTATTTGACTTGGATTTTTCTGTCTCTTGTAGCATCGGTGGCACTTGGGAAGAGCTCTTGTCAGAATCACTTTTTGATAAAATAACAGATGGCTCGGTAGAAACAGCAGGTGGAAGAGTCTTGATAGGCTATTTTGGAATAAAATTATCTCAGATATTTTTGTAGAATTTTCAAATAAAATTAAATATCATAGTAATATCAAGAGGTCGTTTAGCTCCAAGAAAATACTAAGATGATTTCCAAGTAATTTATCACAAGCAATGTAACTCACACCTGCCCTCTAGTGATGTAACCAAATAAATAACCTACAATATTTATGTCTATAGGCTAAGATAAAAATAAAGGTATAAATTATAAAATGTTTCTAGGATGTCCAATAGGATTCAATAATTCCATTTTCATTAACTTTCTGTATGCAATTCAGAGGGTCTATCCATTTCCCACCAACTCTGAACTCTTCAGAACTTTTTGTGAAAGACAAAACGAAAACAGCTAAGACAAAAAGAAAACAGTTTCAGAACTACCACTAGGTGACACCCCTTTATCTCCTTTCCAAGTAGGGATATCTCAAACAGCAGCAGCAACAGCTTCTGTTTCCTACAAGCAGACTGTGGTTACCAGTCTGATTTCAAGCAACCAATACCACTCAGGTCCAAAATTTCAGAGTTTTATCCAGTCAGGTAGTGCAATTAAATGCTTGGGTAGGGCTTAGATTCTTGAGCTCTGCTTCTCTTGAGACACCTGGGAGCAGAAAGGAGATAAACTGATTTGCCTCACTGAGGCATGTCTGTTAATAAATGGTCAGGACCTGGTAATGATAAAAATGCCAGTAATTTGGACTGCCCTTAAGGTTGTGAGAGATGAGAAGATCGTTTCACCTGTTGGTGCTAAGAAGGTAAGTAACATTTCTCTTGCCTCTGTTCTTCCAGGCTCCATGGGTTCAAGAAAGCACAATGAGAAAAGGATATAAGAGGAGGAAGTGGTGTGAGCCTAGGTATCCCAGGTATTTGAAGCTGTATTTACGCTGCTTGCTTCATCTTAATGTTCCCTGTATTTATTCAAAACTAAAAGCTTTATTATTTATTTATTTTTAATTTATTTTTATTTTTTATAAGGAAGTGGGAGTAGATATATTTTATTTTAATTGCCTTTTCCTCTTTATTCTCTTATTTATCTACATTAAATCACAGAAGAGTTAAAATATTCTTTACAGGATGGCTTCTGAAAATGATTTAATCATCAAAACATCAAAATATCAAACAACCCTTTGCTATTTATTATTAAATCTAAACATATACTGAGATCCAATCTTTCTATCCAAAAGACCCACAGGGAATTAAAAGCATTAAGTCCAAATAAGAAGTATGATTAAAACTCTGTTTCAGGGGCTGGCTCACACCTGTAATCCTAGCACTCTGGGAGGCCGAGGCGGGCAGATTGCTCGAGGTCAGGAGTTTGAAACCAGCCTGAGCAAGAGCGAGCCCCTGTCTCTACTATAAGTAGAAAGAAATTAATTGGCCAACAAACATAACAATAAGAAAATACATATAGAAAAAATTAGCGGGCATGGTGGCGAAGGCCTGTAGTCCCAGCTACTCAGGAGGCTGAGGCAGTAGATCACTTGAGCCAGGAGAACTGCAGGTTGCCTGTGAGGGCTAGGGCTGACGGCCACACGACTCACTTCTCTACCTGAGTAACCCATAAGTAGAGACTGTGCTCCAAAACAAAAAAAACCAAACAAACAAAACTCTGTTCCAGAGGATGGCCCGAAGCTGGCTCGATCGCCGCTAATCTACGCACTCTGTCGAGGCTGAGGTGGCAGATTCTCAAGGCAGGGAGTTCGAAACCAGCCTGGCAAGAGTTGAGACCATGTCTCTAACTCAAAAAGCCAAATAAATATGATATATCTTTTTTTTTTTTTGAGTCTTGTATTACTGCCCAGATTACAGTGTTGTGATCACACTTCACTGTAACCTCCAACTCCTGGACTCAAGTGATCCTCCTGGCTCAGCCTCCTGATTAGCTGGGACCATGGTTGTGTGATGTCACACCTGGCTGACTTTTTATTTATTTTTTTGTAGAGATGGGGTCTCAGTGTATTGCCCAGGCTGGTCTTGAACTCCAGGCTCAAGGGATCCTCCTGCCTTGGGCTCCCAAAGTACTGGGATTATAATTTTTTCTGTATATATTTTTAGTTGGCCAATTAATTTCTTTCTATTTTTAGTAGAGATGGGGGTCTTGCTCTTATACTCAGGCTGGTTTCCAACTCCTGACCTTGAGCGATGTGAACCAGGTGTAAACCATGACACCTGGCCAAATTTAATATAGTATTAGTATAATATTTAATATTATGACATTAGTGTATTATAACATACTAATATAAAATTAGTATAATATTTAAATATAGTATAATATACTCAATTAGAAATCAGATTTTAATTAGTGTCCCTGGCCTAGACCTTTTATAAAATGGTTCCTCTGCCACATAAATATTTCCCATAGAAGGCATATCATTCAAGAACCTGTCACCAAATTTTAAACAAATATTACATTTTGGGAGGTTGAATCACAGTCATATTATGTGCGTTTTTTTGTGGAAGATGCAACTGGTAACATTTTCTCTAAGCCACCTATCCCTTTATGCCTAGATTGTGAGGGGTTGAGTCATTGCACACCTGCAAGGCCCCGCGCCCCCAGTGAAGCTGGAAGCAACATCCGGGAAGGCTAACCGAGACGTCCACTTCTGGAAACTGTTGCTTGCTTGCCTGCGCCATGGAAACTGTTGCTTGCTTGCTTGCGCCAACTTTGCATTGTTTGAACCCCTGTATAGTGGGGCTACCAGCCAACCAATCATGTTAAAGGTCAATGCATGATCCACGTGTGATCAGCCAATGCATAGCGTAGGCACCATAGGGATAAAAGGCACACTGCAACCCTGGTCGGGGTCCTTGCCTACCAGAGTGGCCACTGTGTTGTTGCTCAAGGCTTGGACCCTTGCTAGCCAGAAAATAAACTCCTCTTGTGTATTTGCATCCTTGGTGTCTCTGTCTCTCTGTTGGGTAGGGTGGCGAGAGGCAGTCGACTCCCAACAAGATATTTAGTAGGAGGAAACACAGTAGGTGGCTCTGATTTTACTACTGATAGTTATGTAACTCCGGACAGATTATTCAACTTCTCTATCCTCATTTATGTAACGAGTCCTTTCTCTTGGGATTGTTTTTTTTTTTTTTCCCCTGAGACAGAGTCTCAACTCTGTTGCCTGGGCTAGAGTGCTGTGGCATCAGGCTAGCTCACAGTAACCTCAAACTCCTGGGCTCAAGAGATGCTCCTGCCTCAGCTTCTCGAGTAGCTGGGACTACAGGCCTGCGCCACCATGCCCAGCTAATTTTTTCTGTATATATTTTTAGTTGATCAATTAATTTCTTTCTATTTTTAGTAGAGACTGGGTCTTGCTCTTACTCAGGCTGGTTTCGAACTCCTGACCTTGAGCGATCTGCACGCCTCGGCCCCCTAGAGTGCGCCTTAGCCTCCCAGAGTGCTAGGATTATAGGCATGAGCCACTGTGCCTGGCCCTTTTTTTTTGAGACAGAGTCTCACTTTGTTGCCCAGGCTAGAGTGAGTGCAGTGCCGTGGCGTCAGCCTAGCTATAAAGGGCGAGTGAAAGAAATTATTGGCCCACTACAATATGATATACGAAAAAAATCAGCCGGGCACTGGGGCGCATCCTGTAATCCCCAGCTACTCAGAGGCTGAGGCGCAGGTAGCGCATTAGCTTGAGCCCAGGAGGATTGACGCGTTCGCCTGTGACGACGATTCCGGCGCCACTCGCGGCCACTCCAACTCTACGCAAACGACATGCCGTGTCTCAAAAAAAAACAAAAACAAACCAAGAGATCGCTTGACTCACAGAATTGGGTTCATCAATTGAATATTTTCACGTAAAGCCACTGGTACTAGACTCTGTTAAACTAGGCATGGATATTATCTCCAAACAACAATGCCAGAGGCGCCGCAGTGGCTCACCGCCTGTAATCTAGCCACTCTGGAAAGCTCGAGGCGGGCGGACTTTTGCTCCAAGGTCAAGGAGTGTCGAAGAACCAGCCTCGAGCAAGGAGCAGAGACCCTTTTCTAACTATACAAAAACCTAGAAAGAAGATTAATGGCCAACTACACTATATATAGAAATCATCTAGCCGGGCATGGGTGGCGCATGCCTGTAGTCACAGCTACTCCGGGAGGCTGAGGCCAGCGAGGATCGCTTGAGCCCCGGACGTTTGAGGCTTGCTGTGACGCGTAGCCGGCGTGGCGACGCCGGACGCACTCACTCCTAGCCTCGGGGTCAACAAGCGGACAGACTCCTGGTCTCAAAAAAAAAAAAAAAAAGTGGCGCCAGGCGCGCCAGCGCAGGGTGGCTCACGCCTGTGAATCCTTATAGCTCTCTGGAGCCGGCCGAGTGGGGCGGACACTTGCTCAAGATCCAAGGTTCCGACAACCAAGCCTGCAGCAAAGGCACAGACCTCGTCCCTCTACTATAAATTACGAAAGAAATAATTGGCCAAACTAATATAGATACTATGCAGCGCTAGAGAAAACTTAGCCCGGGCATCGGGTGGCTGCATGACACCTGTAAGTTCCCCCAGCTACTCAGGAGGCCTGAGGCAGGAGGATTGCCTTCGACGCCCGAGGATTTGAGGTTCGCCTGTGAACTAGGC